ATTTAATATTTACGACATATACTTTAAAAGAAAGATGAAAACTAAACGTACTAATAATTTCTTCCCATTATCCAAAATATAAATTTACAAATTTTTACGCATCGAATAAAAAATAATTTATAGTTAAAATGTTTTGTTTTTAAAAATTCAAAGGGTAGTGTTATGAATAAATACTTTTTATTTTTAAATTAAGAAAACTGATAAGGAAATTTGCAACGCAGGTTAAATGGAATACTTAGTGTTATATTTGAAAATACTATGAATATTTTTATCATATACCTGAAGATGCCAACTTGTGAAGTACAAGTAACCGGTTCCCGGGTGCACAGCTATTGCTCTTGGGTCTTGAATGCCTGCCTTGAGCGTTCTCCTATTGGTACCGTTAAGTTCGGCCACCTCCAGATGTTTGCTGTGCCGGTCCAACCAATACAGCTTCCTGCCAACCCAGTCAACGGCAATGCCTTCCAGACCATGGCTGTCATGTCTGATGATCTTCTCACGTTCTGTACTGCCCACTTTAGTCCTGTAAATGGTTTTTGCACTCACGTCGCAGAAGTATAACTTTTCTTCCATGTAATCGAAATCCAATGCGACCACATTCAATAGGTCCTGATGGTTGAGCGAGTACTCTGATGCGTCCAGCGACATGTTCCGTACGTAATATTTGTTGGTGAATATCAACCAAGGTTTGTTCCTGTCACGTCGCTTACACGTTCGTTCGTCTGACGTCCGGTCGTAATAGGTTTCATCGCATTTACAGTAAAATGATCCTGGAGTGTTCAAACAATACTGTGAACATGCCCCGGGTACTTCCACACACTCGTTAATATCGTCACACGCTTTACCATCTTCCATAAGCCTAAGTAAAATCAAACACATCGTTGAAGAGTTGAAATTTTGAAAATCTAAATTTTTAAAGGTCCGTTTAAAAACATTAATGTGGAAAAATATAAACAAAAGATATGTTTCAGTCGGTTGGTTGATGTCTAGGTTTCATACTTGTCCAAAACTCCCAAATATAACTACGGAAAAAGGTAGTCCGAATTTTTTACGTTGTATACTTAAACCTAGTTATATCCTAGTTGTTTCTCGATAAATATTAACCATTATGAGCTGTATATTATGTCATATTATATTATTCTTAACTGTTGAATAATGACAAGGACTCCCGGGTTTGATGCCTAGCGGTTACAACCGCGAACCTCACGTTAGCGCTGTGGTCCTTAAACGATGCGCGGACGGCGGCCATCGGGTAACTCCGATGACCGGCGACCGTGAACCTCCTCGGCTCTTGACTATCGCACAGCGCTAACGTGAGGTTCGCGGTTGTAACCGCTAGGCATCAAACCCGGGAGTCCTTGTCATTATTCAACAGTTAAGAATAATATAATCCAAATGTAAACAAAAAAGACAACATTTAAAAAATAATGGGAAACAATAATTTTAACATATAATAAATCAGAAAATATTGGTTTTCCTGGCCGGAACGTAACGGTCACGACCCGTTTTTATATCCCCAGTAAAGAAATTTTAATTTTAAAAAAACACGGACTACTATTCGTTTATACGTTGAAAAACATTGGTACCAAGTAGTACCTACGTGCTCAAAAAAATGGTGGATCATTATTATAGGCAACTACTAGTACACAACCATCGTTTATTAGTATATATATATATATAAACAAAAAATAGTAAAGTAAGATCAATTAGACTGACTTGTATCCCTCATTGCACTCGCACGTGAACCCGGTAGGGGTGTCAATGCACCGATGAGCGCACTGGTTGAGCTCGACTTTGGCGCATTCGTCCACGTTGCAGTGAGCAGGCTCATCGCTGTCATCCGCGCAGTCTGATACCTTGTTGCATACCAACGTAGCATTGATACACTGCCCGCTGGTGCACCGGAATTGGTCAGTACCGCACGTTGACGACGTTCCGTTTCGGCCACCTGCCGGGCATCCGAACTCGTCCGAATTGTCTCCACAATCATCTTCGCCGTCACACCGATACGTGTTCCGGATGCATTTGAAGTTCTGGCACGAGAATTCGCGGGGTGAGCACGTCTTGTACTGCGAATGACACTCCTTGCCTTCGTCCGTGCCATCACCGCAGTCGTTGTCATGGTCGCACACCCATCCACGGTTGATGCATCGCCCGTTACCGCACGTGAACTGATCCGCACTGCAGTTAGCCACCGTCGTGCAATTGAGCACCGCAGCATTCTCGTCCGCCCCATCTACGCAGTCAGGATCGCCATCGCACAGCCATTTTTTCGGTATGCACTGTGCCCTATTCCACGCCTTGTTCGCATGACACGTGAACTCGGTTGACTCATCGCATTTACGGTTGTCTGCAGAAAAACAAAACAAAATGGTTCATAACACTTTTCCAAAACCACGGTTATCTACAATACAGCATTATTTAGTAAGAAAAAGGAGTAATTTTTAGCTTTTTGATATTTTTATATAGGTACGGATTTAGGAGGAGTCATCTATAAAAATTTTCGAATTTCATGGCGTTCAATTAGGTGACTCTTGATGATAATTGAAAAATTGTTATTCATCGTGAGAGAATCTCCCTTTTAAAAAAAAAATTGTTAATCAAATGTTCTTTTTTTATACAACGTTTCATAATGGGAAAACCCCACAAAATATCAATCCAATATTCCTCCATCAGGTATACCGATCGCGAAACTAGTAAAAAAAATCTGCGATGATTTTGACACATGTATGAATCATTTAGTTGAGACTGTCTAACTCGTCGAGGAACTTACTAACTTGGTCAATATTGCTTATTAAAGCTATACATCGGAAATATCAGGGACAACTAAAAAATAAAATAAACTTGGGCAACAAAAAAAAAGGTTTCAATATTTAAATTGTATTCCCAAATTGTATTTCAGAATCAGTATATTACTCTATAATTATAGTCTTAAAATTTATGCTGGCTGTAAGATCACATTCAAATTTAGTACCACTTAGTTTATTAATGTAATCGAATACATGCTATGTGACAATACAAGACAATATTTTAAGTTACGGTATTGATTAACTATACGTATTTGTATATTTAATAAACAGTTATGGTAACAAACTACAAAATATAAAAATCATAATAAGTGTGGGAAATATATCAATGAAATTATGAAAGGATCAGAATAATAAAAACAAAAATATTTGTCATTCAGGTCAAAAACCACC